GTCCCTCGCAGCGCGGCGCACGCCGGCCCTCTCCGCCGGGGCGTACCTCAGCTGCGGCAGGCGCCGGTTGACGGTGTCCGTCAGCCGGCCCACGGCGTCGGTGTACTCCTCGCCCTCCTTGCGGATTCTCCTGTTCTCCAACCACTCGTTGAAGGCGCGGGCCTCCACGAGCTCGTTGTAGCGCTTGTAGAGCAGCGGCTGAACCCTGTAGGAGGGGTACTGCTTCCAGAAACTTCGGAGCATCTGCGCCTCGTTCCGGCGCTCCAGGGGCATCATGGTTCCTTTTAGACATCCATGCTGGCAGCCACGGCCAGCTGCTCGAAGCGGTTCTGCCGGCTGATCTGCCTCATGCGCCGCTCCTGCGAGGGAGTCATCCTCACGGGGTGCCTCGGCTGCTGCTGCGGCTGCTGCTCCAGCCGGCGGTAGCGGTTCACCGCCTGCCCGGTGGGGACGGTCGCTTCGGTGCCGGGGTCGGCCACGCTTTTTTGGGGGCCGCCTTGGGCTCTGGGGCTCCGGGGCCCTCAGCAGCGGGCACGGCCACCACGGGCTCAGGAGGCCCGGCAGGGGGAACTGGGGGAAGATCCCCAGCATCCACAGGCTCTGTGGCTGCTGCTGGGGCCTCGGCCGCGCCGCCTGCCTCCTCAGCCTGGTCGGGCTGGTGCTCATCCGGCATTTTCGCTTTTCCTCAAGCGGCCCATCATTTGTCTGGATCGAGGAAGAGGGCGAAGGAGACGCTGGTTCCTCGGGTGTTGACCTCGTCGCCGTCAAGGTCGGTGATGCGGAAATTCAGCGTGCGGAGGGTGATCGGGCCCCGCAGCTCCACCAGGTGCCCGTCGTCCGTCTGGTCCTTCATGACATGACCCACGCCCTTGTCGATGATCACCTTGCAAATTATGTCGGTGCCCAGCGGTGCCAGGATGTGGGCAGCGTTGCCCAGCTCCCTCGACGGAGATAAACCTCGTTAAAAGGGTTCATGGAGACGCAGGGGAAGATTTGGAGGGCTCCGTCGATGTAGCTGCCCCCCAGCAAATGGTTGATGCTTTGGGGGCTGGTGGCGTAGGCCCCCTGGGGGTAGCCGGGTTGATTGGGGAAGAGGTCGCGGAGCTCAACGTCCGACAAGATGTGGCGGTTCCCGTCACTTGCGACCTCTATGGAGTTCTGAGCCTCCACGTAGGTGGCCGAGGCGTAATTGCTGGAGATCCAGGCCGCGAGCCTGGCGCCGGTGTAGGCCCCCACGGGCAGCTGCGCGGTGTTCAGCGTGCCCAGGGCCTGATCGATTCAGTAGAGGTTCCGGCCCCGGTCCGTCGATGCGCACCTTGTAGACCGCCATCTTCGCGC